TATTTTTTGTTGCTCTATGGCTTTTTTGACGTTAAACCTCGAATCACTAGATACTTTATAAAAGTCTAACAAGAACAATTGATGAATAAAGAAAATCGAGAATAATTTGAAGAGGGGGGGGGGGTATCGAGAATGGAGAACAAATGGCGTTTTTAAAGGAATTCGATTTTTCATCCAAGTTTAAATCCTAATATATCTATATCTATTGTTCCTACATGTTTAAAGAGTAGGGTGTGTGCATTTTCTACATGTAAAAATATTTTTGTAAAATAAAACACATGTTAAATTATTCTCATATAACATTCATAAGACGGATTTATATCACTTTCTATATTTTAAGGTGCCTTTTCAGTTTAATATTTAATGGGCGAAATCAAATTGAATGTACACTTTTAAGATTATAGAAAAAAAATACACAACTCTTCAAAATTTCTAAAAGTTTTATTGCTTGAAATATTTTTTACCGTATTTTTTGATTCTTCCGTAGTTTTGAAACAAGAAAGACAAATCGAATGTATTTCTTATTAAACAACATAAAACCTATTAAACAGTCACGTTAATTTATTTATTTATTTATTTATTTATTTATTTATTTATTTATTTATTTATTTATTTATTTATTTATTTATTTACTCCTTCATTCTTTTTGTTTCATATTGTTTATTACATGTAGATTTGATTAACTTCAATCGTTCAAGGTAAAGTTATAAAGTTACATGTATATTTTCTATGAAATTAAATTTTAAATCACAATAATCTACAATTCTTAGAATAGCAAGTACCAAACGTGGGTAATAGAAGTTAACCGCACCAGAATTTATTTAAAACATTTCTTTTGAAATATGATTTCAGAATTTAATTGTCTTTTTTTCTTTTTCTTTTTTTTTTCTATCTTCTTTTGCACATTACTATAACACTGATTCAATTTTTTGAATGGAGACAGTAACCTTAATTACAACCAAAATATTGCAGTATTTAAACTTGTTCATGAATTTATTGCATCTACAAAGAGATTTGCATGATATTGTTTCTCTTCTTGTTTTTTTTTTTTTTTTTAATTGTCAAACCGCAGAACCAACATCTATTTATGTGTTCTTATTAATTTTCACAATTATACCCGTATTATTGTTATCAGTCATATACATGTATGTTAAACTACAAACATATATTGTATCATCAGCTCACTTATAATTAATTTTTTACTATTTATTTTGTCTTTTTTCATAAGTTTCTTTTGAATATACACATGTATATATTTATTTTTTTCTCAATGATATGTAACTTATATTTATTTGTACATGTATGACTTTGACCTTGTATTATGGACAAGACTTTATATTGGCAGTGCCTGCTGTCCAATCCTTTTATGATTATACATAATAAATATTTGTTTAAATTAACACTGATACAATATAACTTACATACAAAAGTGTCAATTTAATAATATATAATCTGATCAGAAATTGTGACATTTTCACGTAATTCAAAAGCACTTTGAAGGTAAATACCAACATTTGGATAATACAAAATTTCTGAAAATTATTTACACTCAACAGCAATGAACTTGAAAACTACCGGTTTGATAATTAACCAATATAACTAAATTGAGGGCATTTTAAAATAAGATGAAATTTACACTCTTTATCTGAATGGCATGTTATACTACACGTTTATTTATTATTTTGATGACCATATACAATAGCAAGATTACATGAGATGACACAATACATATCTGCTTACATTCTTTGGTTTGAATTATAGTTTTTTTAAAGTAAAATTATCAATGATATGCTTAAATGTTTTGCATTTGGATGAACAATTTATTTGTTCAAAACTCTTGGAATAAAAACTATCCATAACTCTATGTTTAATAAAAAGGTGAAAATATTTTGAATTGGATACTATTTGATAATTGAAACATCGACCTTTTTAGTTGTTAACTTAAAAGGGGGGGGGGGATTCCAGAAAAGACGTTATAAAAAAAGTTGAAACAGGTCACTTTTGATAATTTTTTAAATTTTCAGTAAATTAATGCTTACACTGTAACACTGTAAAATGAAAACATCGTTTCAAAAACAGTAAATTGCAGTAAACGACATTTTTATATAATAAAAGTTAATTACAATGTACATATAAAAGAATAAAACTTTTTAAAAAAAAAATGTTAATATTTTAAATATATGACTAAATCTTCAAAATTCAAAAAAAAAAAATCGACCAATGAAATAAGATCAATAATGATCAAAATCCAGGCATATATTTATGCTATTTCCCTGTCAATACATGATAATAATATAAAAATAATAATTGTAATGTATGATGGTGATTAGGAGACCACATTTTCCTACTCTCTGTTATAAAAATATAATGAGAACGGAATAAGATACTATATATGAACTATAATTACGTACATTGTATTTTTTTTTACTTACGGTGTTGAATAATTCATCTATCTTTTGATTATATTCTGGTTCAGTTTTATCATAATTTATATTTGTTACTTTTTTTTCTTGAGAGCTTAATAAAATTTTAATGTTTATCAATGCTTTTATATATTGATTTTCCTGGTCAAATACTTGTAGTAATATTTAACACAGCAATTTGTTTATGTTCACAATAGACAAAACAAAGACTTACCAATTTGTAGACTTTGAACTCTTTTTTGAACAACGATGGAAGATTCAGATAAATTAAAATTAATTATTTTCTCCTATATATAAGTCTGGAAGAATTTATTTCTAAGACCCGTAGGGAAGTTTTGGGGCGATTTCTTAACTCTGTCCCATTGACTTGTTAAGAAACACCCCTGTTTGAAATGTAACGACCCGGGCTATGAAACCAGCATTTGACAAGACCCCAAAGTCTGCACCTCACTGTACGGAGTTTTTATAACGATTTGTGAAAATTGTCAACTAGGGATTTAAGGGGCCGTGTCACGATTTAGGTTTTCTTGTTAAATAAATACATGGTGCATGCATTGTCTTTGTGTCATATGACAACTATTTTATTTTAAAAAAGAATGAAAGAAAAAAAAACGAATAAAGTATTTTATTTGATGAATTTATTTCTTGCATCTTGAAATAATAATTTAAAAAAATGTTAGTACAGTTCAAATTTTGTTAATAGAACATTCACTCATTTTATAGCCTTTACAAACTAATTACAATATTTTTCTGCTATCCATAAATTTATTGATGAAACCTGTAAATTTTAAATTATGTAATTGAACAGAATTTTCAATTATATTAATTGTTAAATATATATTTTTATGTATTATTTTGCATTACATATTGTAATATTTATGGAGAGGGACCAGTAGAACTCGCTTCCAATCCTTTTGATTCATTCAATAAATAGATTAAAACAAACATCCATCATTTATTAAAACTAATAAATATAATATTTTTCATTCTGAAACATTTTTCTTATTTGTTTAATGTTTTATTTGTTTGTATTATTTATTTATTTATATTATTTATTTACTAATATCTATATTTACTCATTACTTATTTCACGCAATCATTCGGGCACAATTATCAATTTACGTTTAAATGAATAAATATTACTATTTAATTAATTTGATTTTGATGCGTAGCGACAAAGCATTCCCCCTTTTTAATTTCTAATTCCATTTTATTTAATTCTATTTCATCATTTTATCGATAATAGAATATTACCATATATGCAGGAATTTGTTCATAATTTTTTTTATATACATGTTAAAATATTGTTTTTGCAAAATAAATGCGCAGTTCAAGAACTTAAACGTCGATTTCATACATGTAACTCACGTTTAAGATTAATAAAATTAATCGAAGTTATTAAAAACAGCTGACTTTTCCAAAGCTGTGTATTTGTTTCAGATTCAGCTATCAATAAATATGAAAGCAATATTCTCCGAGAAAATAATAAAATACAATATATTCTTTCAGCAAAAATTTCAATCTTGTTTTTTTTTTCTTTTATTCATGTGCATGTGATATAGTTTCTATACAGATCTGATAAGTCATTGCTTATTAAATGGAGGGGAAAATTAAAATTGCAATATTTATACAAAATATTATTCCTAGATATAACGTTTAACTTTCATTCATATTATATTATTTATCAAAGGTATTGCAAATTATATTTTGTAATTATATTGTACAGCTAGGCGCAATATCGTTTTTTCCCCAAAGGGAGGGGGATGATTGAAAACTTAACTAAAAAAAGGAAATTGTTCAAACTCGAAAATCCGATTTCGTCAGTGTGGGGTGAAGGAGGATATGCATGGTTCCAACCTTTTCGATGAGAAGTTATTACTTCAAAAAAGGGGGCAATCGTTTCATACTAAAGTAAATGTAAAACATAACATGTACAAGTATGTATGTTTGACAAAAAAGTGGGGACAACCCCACCACACACACACACACACACACACACACAATACTAAATGCGTGTAATGTACACGTAGAATATTACATAGGAGGTTATTTGTAGAGTAATTATCCTTGCTTGCTACTTGATCTTTCTATTTTTTCTTCGTTAATTTATTAATCATTTTAAATTACTTTTGGTTTATTTATTTGAATAAAATTCAAGAAGTAAAAAAAAAGTATCACTTGAAATCATTTTTCCTGATTCATGCATAAATAATAAACTTTATAATTCCAAGTAATGTTTGCATTTACTTTGTTTGCGTGTTACATTAACAGTGTAAATCTAAAGTTTAAAATTATCTTTAACTATCTAGATTTAAACTTTTGATGTAACGTGTATATATATATTACTATATAGTTAATTGTTGATTTATTTCCAAAATTTTATTTATGGAAGACAATCAACTCATATCACTATATAATTCACATGTGAAAAAAAAGAGGAAAGGGCGCGAAGATGTCCTGATCCAGTTTATAAATGATTCTTTCTCTTTGCTTAAAGGAATAAAAAAGGAATATTCCTAAATGGAGTGGTCTGCCCTTAGTGAAACTCTTTTGTCTCCTAACGTCAATGCGACTATTTCCGGTGAAAATAAACATGGCTGAGATGAAACCCCTTTCTTTTGGATTTTCAAAGAAATTTGAGAAAAAAGACCTAAGTAAATCAGTGGCGGCAGAAAATGAAAAGAAGGAAGACGATTCAATTGACTACGTAACCTCAGTTGATAATAAAACCATAAAAGGGTAAGTGTTCAGTCAGTTTTCAAGCGTTTTTTTTTTTTTCTCTCCTTTTTTTTCAGGTACACTTGGGTCTTCGTTTATAAATATGTATATCCATTGATATATAAAGTGAGTGCTCTTTTTACACAACAATTGGTATACATATTATAATTTGTAATTCAAGAACCAAGTACCTGTGATTTTTTTTTTTTATTATTATTTTTTTTTTACTGAACCAGAGACAAATAAAAACGGTTTTAACCATTATTGGTTTTTATATGTCTCTGTCTGAACTGAACGTATCACAGGGATCTGAATTCTTATCACTTTGTTTACTGTTTATATTAATTGCCCTTCTAGTGAAAATATTCTATTATATTTCCATATTTTTTATAAGTTATCAACATAGGCTCTAGCTGCAGATCTGTGGCTCTCTGGTTGAGAAAATTCACAGGAGTAGGCAGTTTTATCCATAAAGCAATGTAAACAATAACCAGTGAGCTTGGCAGCGAAGCGATAGGAGTGCAACATGTTTTTGGTTAATTTTGCTTTGGCGCTTTATTTAATAAAACAAACAATGACACACAGTATAATTCATGTCAGTCGATGTTTCAAACCTGATTTCTGGTCCAATTGCCCTCTCAATTGCCGTACGCAACCCTTAAATCTAACGTTTAATAAACAACATCTCAAAAATAATCAGTCACCATGAGTGTTAAAAATTTACTTGCATATTGTGTTTCTGTTAAAGTGAATTTTTCTAGTCAAAACTGGGCTAGTAGTTGTAATTAAAAGAACTGCTTAACGTAGCTACGGATAGTGATCACGTGACATAACACGTGAATTCTAAAATTAAAAAATATTCGGTCTGTTTATTCCGGAAGTGCGTCGTTCAACATGGCGGACTGTAAACAACGTCAAGACAGGTTGCCAGGAAAAGTTAAAGGGAAGTTTTGCAGCAAAGGCAGATCAAGGAAATCAGCGCATATGAGACAATTAAACAGTGTTAGCAAACAGGACAATGAGATAGTTTCTTACGAAGTTGACCATTCCTACATGGCAAACAACTTAACCTCTAATCCTGAAGCAGACGACATAGCTAGAGATGATCTTGGTGTTGGCCTATGCATCGAAACGCGTGGAACGGAGGAAGACGTCAGATGGAACGAGGGGCGGCGGATTGTGGAGCTCAAGTTCTTGGCAGACCAGCTGGTATGTAAACGGTGTAACAATCGTTTGCATTTATGTAACATCGTAAATGAAAAGCGGTATGGGCTCGGCAGTTTACTTTACATCAAGTGCGACAGTAGTATTTGTGAATTTACCAACACAGTGTGTACAGGAAAGAGGAACGAAAAAGGTACCTTTGACATCAACTCAAAAGGAGCTCTGGGTAAGTCAAATTGTAACATGATGTACTTGTTTATCACTTGACATGAATATTTCAAACTTATTCCATCATAATTGCAATTTTCATAAATTCGAGTTTTTTTAAAATATTGATTATACATGTTTTCTAAATTATATCATAGATATGTTTTAATGTCTCTGATTATATTCAATTTATTTAATTACAAATTTAAAAAAAAAAAGTAATTATTATAGAGAAATACCCTCCATTTTTTGCTATCTGTATTATAAATTGATTGCATGTATACATGTATTTTCTTCTTCTTCCCTTTGTGGAGTGTTACTCAAATTGAGTGTCAATACTCCAGCATTTTGGGGGAGGGGCAGCAAGTAGTTAATATCCAGTATTGCTTATCTATTTTTCATGTAATTTATGCAACAATGCAACTGATAGGTAATATATATCATTAGTTAACTGTACAGGCACAATCAAAGATGTGCACCTTAAATTGGGGAATAATTCGATAGATCTAGATTGGAAGGATGGTACAAAGTACTACAAACTCAGGATAAGTGAGTTATGGCCCCAGCTGTCTTCCTACAGATTTCTTTATGCCATTTATTAATAATATGAATAGAGCACTTTCAAAGGTCCATTAGGGTTAGTCAGGAGTAATAAATGGCAGCGTTCAACTCCAAGTATGGGCCATACCAAAATTTACGAAAAATGTTATTTAGTGTTGCTCATACAATTGAAATTTAAAGTTGGTATGGATTGAATCTGCATGCAAGGTTTAAACAATGATCCTATGGATATCAATCCTTTATATGACCTTAAAAGTGCTGTAAAGATAATTAAAAAGTAAAATTGTTGAGCTGTTCAAACCGTATATATTGGGTCTTTATATATGAAAAGCTGGTAAAAATTAGATTTTTCAATCAGCTATAAATTTGGTTTTGCCTATTTTTTTTCAGCCATGATACATTCTGGTATGGGACCAACCCATGTTGTAAATTTTCTTAGCACCTGCAACATTCCACCTATTGATGCCACCACTTTGAGGAAGAAGGAAAAAGAGATCTCAGCTTCTATTGTTTGCCAGGCCAAGGAGTCGTGTCAAAGAGCAAGAGAAGAAGAAATGAATGCTACAGCAGACCAACTGGAATGTAGCTTTGATGCTGGTTGGCAGACCAGGGGGTCTGGCTGTCAGTATAATAGTAATACTGGTAATGTCATCATCTAAATTATGCTGATTAATGTTGAAAAGTGTAAAAAAAAAAAATAAAAATTAGCAATTTATGGAGTGTAAACTACCCAAGCTATACACACATAAATTTATGCAATATTTTAATTAAAATACACACTTTGGAAAACATATTTTGATATCCATGGACTCCAGTAATATTTTTTGATATTATATGTTAGATAATATATTTCATCATGTATAGGTACAGTGATTAATTGTGTAATGACGTTGTTCCCCTATTCCATTGTATCGATCAGTTTAGAAATTAATCTCATTAATTAATATAACAGGTCATGCGAGCCTTATTGGTGTTCACAGTGGAAAAGTTCTTGAATATGATGTGAGATCAAAGATATGTCGAGTCTGTCAATACCATTTTGGTAGGAATGAAACGGTTCCAAATCATGACTGCAGCAGTAATTGGTCAGGTTTGTATGTTTTGAAACATTTTTGTATGTAAATGTCTTGTATGATATATTTATCAATAGAGGATATCTATATAGTGTGTTTTGATAATTTGCTTTATACAACTTGTTGAATGGTGTTTATTCGCGAGGCTTGCCGAGTGAATATTCACCATTTCAACGAGTTGGATAAGGCAAATATCAAAACACACAATTATAGATGTTCTATTTATCTCATACAATTTTTGTTTTTAACAAACTTTGAGATAATCCCTGTGAATCTATTGGGGAGGGGGGGGGGTGTTAATATCATCCATCGCTGTAGCCTGTACATTGATAAATTTTGACATTTCACTGAAGTGTTACGAGTTTTTTTCTTGTTTTTAACGAAAACTTTTGCTTATTAGCATTCATTTGATAACAGAACTTTCACAATTAGAAGTTTTGATAAATTTACATCTTGAAGCGAGGCTGAGGGATTATGTCAAAACCGGAAGTGCTATTGATAAAGCATAGGTTTATCTTATGGGTAGTATCCACCACACGTATGAGATAAAATGAGCTATCCACTGTAATATTTATAGGAATCACCAGTTATCTGTCTCTTAGTTTTTATTAATCATATTGATGATCGACACAAACATTGAAAGTTGGGCAAGCTAGTTCACCTTCTTAAGAAGCAAAAACCAAATTTCACTCTCACATTGAACAGTTTAAGAGTAAGTAGCTGTTTGAACGGCTTTTCCATTAATAATAACTTACCCGAAAGATAATGGGGTATTTTGAAATACAATGTACATGTATATATAACATTTTGCAGATAAGGCAATGAGTGAAAAAAATGTAAATATAAGCATTGAATTAGTCTTTGATAGATGTATAAGTCTCAAAACTGCTTCAGTGCATGCAAACAAATTTTTATAATGAACAAACCTGCCTTAACTCATTATACCCCCGCTCCGAAAGATAGGGGGGTGTACTGTTTTACCCTTGTGTGTCTGTGTCTGTGTTTCTGTCCGTAGCAAATTTTTGTCACTGTTTTCTCAGAAACTTCTTATAACACTTGAAATTTTAGCACATTCTTTGTTTAGGCATGTTATATGGTGGGATTCATATTTGTACGAGTCTGATATCAACTTCCTGTTTATCCATGTGTCTGTCTCTATATATATATTAGGAATGGCAATTTCTAATCGGTTAACAGGTTACTCGAACCTGTAATTTTCTGAGAATTGAACAAAATTTGCATTTGATTTGATTGATGTTTCTTGATTTATAGGTTCTAGTAAGGCAATGGAACCAGATATGGCCTCAGCAATGTTAAATAGGATGAGGGAAGACGGATGTGAGGTCCAGACAATCCACGCAGACAATGATTCGACGACTGCTGCTCGGTTAAAGAATATGTTCCCATCTCTTCAAAAAAAGCAGGATAAGAATCACTTAAAGAAAAACTTGACCAAACAGCTTTATAAGCTCGCCAAGCTTTATAAACAACTCAAACCGGCTGGTACAATTTCCTATGTGGTCAGATGCTTTATGTATGCCATATCCACCAAACATACATCTGAAGAAGAACTGATGTCAAAATTGGAGATGGTTGTTCCTCATATGTTTGGAGACCATAGTCTATGTGAAGGGGCTACATGGTGTACATATCACAAAAATCCATTGACATTTAGGTAATTCTGAAATTTCCTGTAAATGTTACTTATAATATGGATAGTTTTTATTAATTAACACAGACTGGGGTATGTTTTGGATTTAATACATATAGCTGTCTAATTTATACTGTATAACCTGGAGTGGGGTAGTTAAGCTCTATAAACCATGAAGTGTGAATGTTGGAACCCAGGATATTATACAGTATAACTTGCATTGCTTGTAATAAAAACTCAATCCAAGAGGGCATGCAAAGTGAAATTTATTGAATTTAAATGGGGTATGGCATGAGTTATGATAAATAAAAACAAGGGGTCAACCCAGTACTAGCATGGCTCATATTTCTTAGTTTTAAGGAAAATGTGGCTATGCTGGAGGTCAGCTAGTAAATACTGCACAGTACTAGGGTGTAGATCTAATGCAAAATATTTATCATCGCAGAATCTAAGGAGAAACCAGATAATATAGACCTATGTTGAAATATTATGCATTATTTTCTATCAAAATATTTTAGTTTCAAGCACCTATCTAAAGGCCAACCACTGTCTGGTGACCAGCTTAGAACTGAACTGGATAACATTACTGAAAACTATAAAAAGATGGCCTCACAGCTGCTGAAGCTGGGATCAACACAAAGTAATGAAAACTTTAACAATGTTGTGGCAAGCAAGGCACCAAAAAATAGGTATCTTGTAGTTATCTTTTTGTTTTTGTTTTTTTAAGTGTAATATCCATTACAATAAAGCTTAAATTTACATTAAAAATAATTACCGTATAATAATGTTAATACATTGTATTAGCAAATTGCCAAACACATGCATATAATATATATATACAATATTGACTTGTGACATATTATATCAAGTAAAAGAGGTCAAAGACCTGGATCCCAAAGCTATTAAATTTTAATAGTTTTAGTTCATATTTGAAAATAAAGATCATATGGAGGCACAGCATCACTGGCTACTAGAGTCTCTGCAGCAGTTTTACAGAAGAATATCGGGTACAGATACATTGAGGAGGTAATTGTTTTATGTTAAAAGTCCTCTGAGAGATTCAGTTTTTTTTCTTTTTACAAAAAAGCAAGAATGTGTCTAAAGTTTTAATTATTGGGCTGTCATTAAAAATATACTTGTTTCTCGTAACCTGACCCACAAAATCTCAAGTTGGGTAGATAGGTAGGCAAATACCGTACTAGTAATTCTTTTTGACAGCAGTTTTGAAAATACATTTCTAAAATTAAATGGAATGATACATTTATAAATAAGTTAAGTACAAAAGAAAGCAATTTGTAAACGGCTAGAATACCATACAAATGCCGTTTAGACTCAACATTTAAGGTAAATTAATTCACAACTATTATTCAATCGACCTTGTGAAATATCTCATACCAGAGTAAATTTGTTGAAATTGAATACATTGTACATCTGTTTAAAAGTATCAGTATACAAAGACTGGACATCAGAGTATACTAGTATTTTTCATACAGGTCTACGGTCGGCTTCCAGTGCTTACATATGCAGTGTCCTTTTTCAAGGCAGTGGTTCTAGAGCATTTCATTTTGGAGTCTCGAAGTACGGAGCTATTTCTAAGTTGCAGGTTCAAATCCCAATGCGAGACGCTCTTCTATTGAGACCAAAAAAACTTCAGTCCAGTGTCGCAGTAGATACTGGCACGACAAAGATTCTTTACTGCTCAATGGCCTAAAGTGTTGTGTACAAGTCTAAATTGGAGCCCTTTACCAGACAAATGTTCAAATAAATGTTATTGTTCCAGTAATTATCAAAAATATAAAATAAAAATAAATATTGGAATAATCTTATGAAAAAAACTTTCCAGTCGGCGCGTTTTTATTGGGTCGGTCGCGTTAGGGGAAAAAAAAAGATATTTTTTATTTTGGCCTTGGCAAATGCATGTATTGATAAACACAAATACATAAATATTAAACTGAAACAAGTTGCATCATAGCTTCCTTAAATTTTGTACAGAAATAGCTTAATTATACTTTTGTGTCAACCTCCTTGTGCACTGTTTATTTATTCCAAACATTATCGTAAAATGTTTAAAGTTGTCACTTTTCTACGATGAGCAGCCCTGCACAGGACTGTCAGTTTAAAAGTTATTGATCTAGTTTACTGAATTTTCTCTAAAGTGTAATTACAATCTTGTTTCAGGTAAACAGACAAAGTTTATTGTCTCCAGGAAAAGTTTCTAAGAGACATGGGATTACTATGGATAAAAAGAAGTTGTGGCACAAAAAAAGACATGCATCTATCTCATTCAAAAGAAAACGCCTGTCATTAAAGGTATGTCTTTGTGTACAATTTATTCAAAGAGTAGGAGATGGTTGCTTGTGTGTTTAGTTCTGACACCTAATTTTTAAGCTGTAGTGAGTCTTTATCTTCAAAATATGTTTGCCATATATTATAGTTTTCAAAAGTAATGCATTATTTTTCAACTTTTCAAGAAGCAACAATCTTTTTATGCCATGACTTTAGACCAAAGCTTGTTTATACTGGATTATGCATAGAATGTCAATATATAACATGTAATTTCATATACTGTTATATAACTTTTTATGGTCTGCTGGTGCCCTAATGATAATCACTGTCTTTCCTCCTGTCTCTCTTGTGTCGCATTTCAGAGAATTTTTATCTCCCCTTTGTCAAATGTGGATCAGCCTTCAGCTTGTCTCCAATAGAGAGCTCATGTATTATGGGTGTGCCACACTCTAGATCTTGAACCATGTTTAAATGTCAAGGTCAAAGCAGATCTCTCTATATCTATTTATTTACTTATCTTCTTTTCCCATGGCCCAATCTGGTTCATACTTTACCCAAAGTGTGTACATTAATTAGAGTGCAATTGAAAGGTCAAACTCCAAATAAAGTCATGGTAATTATCTTGAATAAAAGTTGTTCTTTTTGAGATGGTCATCAAATCAATGATATGTATAGTTATGATCATAAATGTACACATCAACATCAGATAATCCTTAATGTTTGCAAATAAGTGTATATATGTTCAAGATCACAGTCGGGTTTTTTCAAAGGGGGAAAAGGACATATCTTCTAGAATCATTTCTTGTATACTTTTTTTTCCTCTTTAAGAAAAGAAAACACGAGAGAGAATCAACAAATTGCCTGAAGGAAGGAAAAACATATGAGCCATGCATCAGTACATCAGAAGTCAACTCTTGTGACCTTGAAACTATACCCGGTAAGCGTGAATTCAATGGTGAAGAAAATATTGTGGCCTTTGATCTGGAAACTACAGGACTGTCTCGCAGCAGTGATATTATCCAGCTAGCAGCTTTTGATGGGAAAGAAGAGTTCAATATTTATATTTCTCCTTCTCAGCAAATTACAAAGAAAGCAAGTGAAATCACAGGACTGAAGTATGACTTTGACCTTGGATGCATGTTCTCCTTAGGAAGAGAAGTAGAATGCGTAGATATTAGACTTGGTCTCCTAAAAATGATAGAGTATCTCAGTAAGCGTGAGAAAACAATTCTTGTGGGACATAACATATTGTCATTTGACATTCCAATTCTCTGCAAGACACTCCAAGTTCACAGTCTTTTGCAGGAATTTCTTCTCCATGTCGATGCCTGTTTAGACACACTTAGACTTGCACGTAAATTGTTCAGTAAGGAGACTGTGGGAAATTACAAACAGCAGACCCTGGTGCAGGTTCTTTTAGGGAAATCCTATCAAGCGCATGATGCTCTTGCTGATGTTAAAACTCTTCATGAGCTTTTTGTATCCAAGTTTACATTCAGAGAAACAGATGCCTTTCCTTTCAATTTCCATGCTCTGCAGAAATCATTTGGGCCAGTTGTTGAAAGAAAGCTGATTTCAAATGCCAATTCTAGAAAACTTGCCAATTCTGGTCTTGGACTTGGACACCTCTACCTGGCATACCACAGAGACAATGATACAGGAGTAAAGTCTGTGTTATCAGAACATGGTTTTAATGCAAAAACGTCAAAACGCATTAATGCATACTTTGAGAAACAGGAAGAGTAACACAGTGAAAAAGTGTTCAGAGGTTTGACAAAAAGTTCAGTGGTATAATATTGTGAAACTAGTCTAATTGGAACCTCATGCAATTTGCAATTCTTTGTTTCCTCATGGAAAATGTAATATTTAAAACTGTGAGAGAAAATTTGCATGTATAATCCATAAATTTTTCTGATTATTAACATGTAAATACATAGCTACCCAGATCAAATCAGGTGTATAAAGATATTTGTGATTGTTACTTCAATAGATTATAACTGTTTAAACAAATTTTGTTTTTTCCATTTTTTTTTTGTTTTGTTTTTTTTGTGCTGTGTGAGTGTTAAGTCGGGTGCGGCAATGGGCCGCTCCACATGTAGACCTTATTTTTTCAAATTTCATGTTTAATTTGATGTGCTAGTGTTCAGTCAGATGCGTCATTGGGCCTCTCCACATGTAGAACTTTGTTATTTTTTTTTCTAATTTCATGTTTAATTTTTTGTGGGTGTTTAGTCGGATGAGGCAATGGGCTGCTCCACATGTAGACCTTATTTTCTTTTATCAAATGTCATGTTTAATTTGTTGTGTGAGTTTTCAGTCGGATGCGGCAATGGGCCGCTCCACATGTAGCCATTATTTTTTTCAAATTTCATGTTTATATTGTTGTGTGAGTGTTCAGTCGGATGCTGCAATGGGCCGCTCCACATGTAGAAATGTATAAATTTTTTTTTTTTAAATTTCATGTTTCATTTCCTGTGTGAGTTACCTTGACTTTATATTGTTATCAAACCAGCTCAGTAATGCGTATAATAGTAAAATTACATTTGAATTACTTTTGTTCAATTTAAAAGATTTCTCAATGATATTCATGCAACAGAATTAAGTATGTGTATTGTTCAATGATATGTCAAATAGCTTGCTTTTGTTTTGACTAAGAAACGAGCACATATATTTAATATATTTTTACATAATAATTATTTTTTTATGTGGCAATAAAATAAGATAAATGTTGAAAATGTGGGTATTTAGAGTTTAATCATTATTTGTATCTTCAGGAGTGAAAAACAAGGAATTGGTGGATGGGTGGGTTGGGGGACAATGTGCTGTCTTTATTTGCCCTCAATGTGGAAAAAAATCAAATAAAGTGAAATTTTCCATTGCATACTAATGTTTTCTCTTAATTAACAACCAAGGAAATGTAATGAATAATGATAAATTTTTATTGAGTACATTTTATGTTGGAAAATAAATTTTAGATTGAGAGGAAAGGGGAGGTAACTCTTCACCCCATGGCTTGATAATTACCTGGTAATCATCATTGCCAAGTTCATATTTTCACTTATCATTATAACACATTGCTTTGAACTAATAATTACTTCCATCAATTATATTTTTCATAAAATCACTTTGATTTGTGATAAATAGCAAGTCAATCATTATTCTTCTTTTTCAAGACTGGAAAACAAGGAAGGGGGGGGGGGGTCAGTGGACCATGTGCTGTCTTTATTTGCCCTCAATGTGGTCAAGATTTTTTGAGTGAGGAACTGTATTGGACTTATCTTTCATATAATAATAAAAAATTAAAAATCTATTGGACAGATATTTTTTTATATCTGAAAAATGGTATAATTTGTATGGATGAAAATAGTCGGATTTGTTCAATCTAAACATTATAATGTGCACCGTTCTCTTATTATATTTCTGTTCAAGCAATCTATTGTTGAAATAAGTTTATAATATCACTTTTGCTTTGGAAATAATTTTAAATTATGCTTGCATATTGTATAATAAATTTTTTATGGGTCTTTTTATGTTGGATACTGAATTTTAGATTGAGGGGAAAGGGGAGGTAACTCATCACCCCGTAGCTCGATAATTTACCCTCAATGCTATGTTCATATTTCCACTAAATGTCCATTACATATTCCTTTATGCCATGTGAAAATTTCAGCAAAATCTATTGGAAGGTTTTTTTTGGGTCAGGTGTCCTTAGCTACCTTAAGTTGTACTGGTAGGTTAAAGTTAAGTTTGTCTGACACAACAAATTCTGGGTAGACAGACACTGAACATAAATCAGGTAATAGCGAGCGCAGCGAGCGGCGCAAAGCGCCCCTTGTCACTGCGAGCTCTAACGACAACGCCTGGGCGAAGAGAAAATTCGGACTACTGCACATTCATTCAATAGAATTTTTTTCCGCAATAATTCTGGACCCACAATGCATCGCTTGTTGTTCTCGCTGCTAACTTCGTTCGTGCGGTAACAACAACTAAAAATTCACAAAAAATAAACTCACCTTAATTTAATGGATATTGCAAACAGATAGTAGATTAAACGTTCTTTGTTAAAATTTTTGCACTTTTCAAACTTCGTTTATGGAAATGCAGCTAACATACGACGTCATGTGACGTCACAGTCTAGACGTTGCAAATGTCTCATGCGGTTTGAAGAGGCGGATCTTAAAATTAAGTGAACAATGCGCTCGCCCCAACGGTCGCACCGTCAACATATTAAAAGGTGATTATAATTCTGATTTATTGATGTATTCTGATTATATTTCTCTCATTTTATTTTTTTCCTGTTTCAGATCAAAGCCAGAAAAAGAGAAGAAGGAGTATGTGATCCCTCTAATTAAGAAGAACGATTGGAGATCGGGATTGAAATCGGATAAACAGAGAGACGAGGCAGAGGATGAAGCCGTCAAAGAAATCATAGAGGGTATTTCCCATATATTAACAATTGAAAAAATTAATGTTTCTTGTACTGTGAATGATTTTGATACATGTAATAGTAAATGGTGTTGCAATTATACAATAATACATAATATACTTTTAATTAGTCTTTTTGTAGTCATTATTTAACTTTTGTTGAATCTTAATCATCTATGCTGGTGACTGATTTTGTATAGCATTATTATAATCATGATAATACTACATATTAGAATTACTGTGATATCATTAATTTTCATAGGGATCAAATTTTGATGCATTGGCAAAAAAATTACAATTTCATTGATATGTAAATTCATAGGCAGCTACCTTTTCCTGAGGTATAATTTGAAAAAAAAAATGCATTTCATTGTTCACCTTATTTTGTGGTCTACCTACTTATTGTAGCTAAACCACAAAAATAAGAAATTAAAATTATAAAATCATAGTACATATATTTTTTTTCACTATTTGATTTTTAAATAAAGATCAAAATTATATTAATCCTTTTTTACTAAATGTTAAATTAATTACTTAATGTAGACTGATGCTAGCAGTTACATGGTGATTTGGTCTATTTTTAGATGCTGCCAGAAAGAATGAAGCTTGGAAGGAGCAGGGAAAGGTAGACAACACTGATCTAGCCATTCCTTTGTTGATGCAGAATAAAGTCCCAGAGGGATTTGAAACGGATGAGAAACTAGATGTCTCATTACGACCAGATGAAGTAAGTTATTAAAACTCAGTGGTAAGTTTTATTTAATGACATTTGTAAAAGAAGAGAGAGTTGGTGATTTCTAATATGATATGAAAAATTGTTCCATAATTTAATACAAGTTGTAGATGGGAAATACATGTAGTTATCCAAATAGGATGTGGTTTTAGAATATTATATACATGAAAATACTTTTTGAAAATTGACTTTAACTTGATGTGCTTGCATTGGACATATTTTTAAATTTCTTCATTTTCACCCAGTTTGAATCAAGCAG